GTTAAAATGATTGGCAACCGGAAGGTGTTATTGATTTTAGCACAGGTACTCCGCATATCGATCACCGGAGTCTACATTTGGTCTCACTGATGTAGAGGAGGCCACAGTGGGAGAAACAGATGTAGTAGACCAGATTGGAGGATGTACAAGTGAACCTCTTGTCGGATATGGAAAGTTTGTCTTGGGCCTCGAATGAAGGTGAGGGGTGAGGGGTGAGGGGTGAGGGGTGAGGGGTGGAGGTGTAGGGGCACGTGTAACACCTCCTGCGCTTGCAAGAAAAGGTGTTGGGTGTGGTGGGGTTGATGGGAAGTGTGGAATGGACGAGGGAGTCATGGAGTGAGCGGTCCCTATGAAAGGCAGATGGGGTGGGGAGGGAAATATCGCTTTGGTCGCGGGTTCAGATCGTAGGTGGCAAAAAAGTGGCAGAGGATGATGCGCTGGATGTGGAGGTTGGTGGGGTGGTGTGAAAGGGCCACGAGGACTCTGTCTTTATTTGTGTTGGGGCGAGAGGGTTTTAAGCCAGAAGTACGGGAAATGCAAGAGATGCAGTTGAGGGCATTTTCGATCAATGAAGGGGGGAAGTTGCAGTCCCTGAAGTAGGAGGACATCTTTAATGTCCGGGAGTGGAACGCTCCTTCTTGGGAGTAGATGCAGCGGAGGAATTGGAAGTAGGGGATCGCATTCTTGCAGGAGAGTGGATGAGAGGATGTGTAGTCAAGGTAGCTATGGGAGTTGGTGGGTTTGAAATAGACATCGGTGCTGAGACGGTTACAGGATATGGGGACAGAGAGGTCCAGGAAGGGGAGGAAGATGGTCCAGGTGAACTTGAGGTTGGGGTGAAAGGCGTTGGTAAAGTTGATGAACTGTTCAAGCTCCTCAAGGGAGCACGCGACCGTGCTGATACAGTCATCAATGTAGCGGAGGAAGAGGTGGGGGATAGTGCCAGTGTAGCAGTGGAAGAGGGACTTTTGCATGTATCCTACAAAAAGAGGCAGGCATTGCTTGAACCCATACAGGTACCTATAGCCACCCCTTTAGTTTGTAGGAAGTGGGAGGAGTTAAAGGAGAAGTTGCGGGTAAGGACAAGTTCCATTAAGCAGATGAGGGGGTCAGTAGATGGGACTGGTTGGGCCTACGGAAAAGGAAGAAGCAGGTGGCTTTTAGGTCATCTGCGTGGGGGATACAAGTATACAGGGACTGGATGTTCATGGTGAAGAAAAGGTTTTGGGGGCCAGGGAACTGAAAGTCTTGGAGGAGGTGGAGGGCATGGGTAGCGTCCTGAACAGAGGTGGGGAGTTCCTGTTCCAGGAGTCAAGGTAAGCAGAGATGAGGTCAGTGGGGCAGGACAGGCAGAGACAATGGGTTGGCCAGGACAGTCAGGTTTGTGGATTTTGAGAAGGAGATAGAACCAGGCGGTGCAGGAATGCAACTATAATATTATAATACCATTTATGCAATGGCTACTGTACTTATTTACATGGTAATTTTGTATTTGAGCGGAGTTGACAAGATGGGAGGGGTGATAAGTAAAATACACGGAAACAAATTTACCTTCCTCCTTGGCTGCAAAATCTTCTGAGTTACTTTCACTATCAGCCTCATATCCTTCCTCTTCAGCAAAAAGCCTGATGTTACAATCCGGTGGCTCTTCTGTCTCCTCTGAAAGATCACCCAGCTGTAGGGCTGTCTGATCATTTATTTTCTGTTGCTGAAGAATAATTAAAAGTTAGCAAGACTTTATGCATTGATAGCCTTTAAATAACCATCCCACTTTAAAATCAGAATATGCCATTTCAATTTGAAAATCAAATCAGCCTTTTAATGGATTACCTACAGTGACAATAAAATAGTCTGAAAATTTAAAAGATAATGATATTCTACATTCTGTATAGTATTCATCAATTCCCTCAGCATTAGCAGGGCTAGGAGATAAATGTGCACTGGCAGACTGGGTGCACTGTAACTCAAAAATAAAGAATCAGGAAACCTGAGAATCCTTGGAAACATATTTGAGGCCAAGAGAGGAACTGAAGCTCGAACAAGGAATTCAGAGGAATAAGGACCTTATCATTGTACAGCTAATTTGCACACAGTGTGGTCTCACAACCAGGAACGATGACTAGAAAATCTGATTTAAGTGACGCTGGAGGGAAGAAATTTTGGATACAACTTCAAAAATTAATTGATTGATTTTATTGTCACGTGTACCGAAATACAGTGAAAAGCTTTGTTTATGAGCGGTACAAGCAGATCACAGCAAAGGATGTACAGACCAAAAAGACAGACTTACAGGCACACAGGTTACATTGCATGTTACATTATTTGAGGCTAGAATCTATTCAAAAGTCTGATAACAGCTGGAAAGAAGCTGTTCCTTAACCTTCAGGGTTCTGCATCTTCTGCCTGACGGAAGAGGTTATAGAAGGTCATTACCAGGGTGCAACAGGTCTTTGATGATGCTTTGATGAGCCGTGTAATACAGTCCATGGATGGAAGGTTGGCATCCGTGATGGTCTGGACTGTGCACAGCACCTTCTTATGGTTTCTTATGGCCTTTGGCAGAGCAGTTGCCATATACCTGGACAGTACGCTTTCAATGGTGCATCCGTAAAAGTTGGTGAGGGACCTTATGGACATGCCAAATTTCCTGAGCAGCCTGAGGAAGAGGCGGCGTTGTTGTGCCTTCTCGAACGTCGCATTTACGTGGGAAGTCCGGGACAGATCATCGGTTATCGTCACTCTGAGGAACTTAATGCTCTCCACCCTCTCAACCTCTGTTCTGTTGATGTAGATGGAGGCATGTTCTCCTCCTTTCTTTTTGCAGTCAATGATCAGTTCTTCAGTTTGGCCAATGCTGACAGATTGTTTGCACTGTACCACATCACCAAGCCCTCTATCTCCCTACTGTATTTTGACTCGTTGTTGTTAGATACCCGTCCCACTACGGTGTCAACACGAAATTGTAGATGGCGTTCATTCGGAATTTGGCAACACAGTTGTGTGTGTACAGGGAGTACAGTAGGGGCTGAGGATGCATCCTTGGGGGGGGCTCCAGCGTTGAGTGTTATTGTGGAGGAGGTGTAGTTACCTATCCTCACAGACTGCAACCTATGTGTCTGAAAGCTGAGGATCTAATTGCAGAGGGCAAAGCCAAGACCAATGTCATGCAGTTTTGAGACCAGCCTGGAGGGGACAATGGCTTAGAAGGCAGAGCTGTAGTCAACAAGCAGGAGTCTGACGTAGGTGTCTGATTTGTTCTGACGTTTCAGGAATGAGTGTGGGGCTACAAATATGGCATCTTCTGTGGATCTGTTATGTCAGTAGGCAAACTGTAGGGGATAGAGGCAGGTTTGGAGATGGCAGTTGATGACCAGCCCCTCAAAGCACTTCATGATTATTGAAGTCAGAGCTATTAGGCGGTAGTCATTAAGGCACACTGCATGTGTCTTCTTGGGTATGGAGATGATGGTGGTCTCCTTGAAGCAGATGGGAACTTGAGCTTGTAGGGAGAGGTTGAAGATGTTGGTGAATAAATACCTCCACCAGTTGTTCCGCACAGGATCTGAGTGGTCAGCCAAATGCTCAGCTGAGTGTGCTCAATAATTCCATATTGAGAAATCTTCAAAAAGTGCCATGGAATCTTTTACATCCACTGAGGGAGTAAATGTGGCTTCAGTTAAATATCTCACCCACCAACACTGCTTCCTAGGACTTGAAACCTTGATTGTGAGGTGCACGTATTACATTGGAGCCAAGGCTGACAAACTAAATTGCCAATAAAAAAACAAACTTGAAAATAAAATCTGAAATATAATCATAATGAGGCAACCCCACATGAACATGACACAGAGATAGTAGGGTCCAGACCTGAAACGTCAGCTTTCCTGCTCCTCTGATGCTGCCTGGCCTGCTATGTTCATCCAGCTCTACACCTTGTTATCATGAACATGACAAATTTATTCACAGCTAAACAATGTACAAACTGCACTTAATTGCTAAGAAACACAAACAGTTCACATAGTAGACAAAATTCAATTTACATCTAATAATCTGAGCTGCGTTTGATCTTGCTGAGCATACACACAGTTTCTTGTACCCAATTGGTACAAGATTTGCAGAGCTACAAACTACACAACACGAGATTGATAATGTATATTTCTGGAGCAAATAGCAGAAATTGAACTGGTCAGTTTATGAATCACGACTCTATCACTGTAAATTGGGGTTCACAGAATTACCTGGCAATGTTTCCAAGACATTTACTGTTACAGCAAATTCAGTATAAACTAGTAGCTTTAATGTAAACTGATTTAAAAGTTTACTTTCCTAGGAATAACTGGAAGACTGCACTAGAATAATTGCAGAATTATTGTCTGTTTTCAAAATTGCATGACTCGACCACATACCTCAGAAATATACCCAAACCTTGTTCACCATGGGGAGACCATGTGCTAACTTAGGGTAGGATACATAAAATACCATTATAACACCCTGAAATTGGAACTTCCATATATACCTTCTCCTTCCACCCACGTGGAGCCACAACATTTGGTTAAGGTTTTATACAGTTGCAATAGCTAGGGAAGAAGTTAAAGAACCAGAACTTGAGGATGGTAATCTTTGGATTACTTTCAGTAGCAGTGATTATTGAGTATAGGAATAGTAAAGTGAGAAAGGTCAATGCGTGGCTGGTGACATATTGTAAAGCAATGAGTTTCAGATTTCTAGGCTCCTGGAACAAGTTCTAGGCAAACAGGTGCGCTTCAACAGGGCTGGGACCAATGTCCTCATAAGTAAGTCATAGACAAGTTAACCTTCCTAAGACTTAATTCCTCCAGCAGAGTGTGGGACAATGGGTAGAGTCCAACATCTGTCCCTTCATAATCTCTTTCACTACAGCCTAGGTGGAGTCCTGCTCTTGAATGCCTTCCTTAAACGTACTTCACCAGGTCATCTTTGTCTGCCTGCAACTTCTTTTCCCATCTGGTGTAAACTCAACTGCCACTCTGGCAAGACATACCTCCAAGAGGAAAAATATGTGCCTGCAAGTCTCAGTAGTTTCTCTGTCAGTGTTCTGTAGGCGACTAGAACACTTACTGGCCGAAGACATCCAACTCCTTGACATTCTGATGCTCACTTCCATGCCTCAGAGACACAGTGTGCGGTTGGTCCTACAATGGACATAGAATTGCAGCTTCATGGCCATGTTGGTGGTGTTGGATACCCGTACCATTTGGAGTTGCTCAAGTACTGATGCTGCTTTGCCAATTCCTATCTGGATATCAATATCTCCAACACCCTCTCTGGAGAAGTTGTTTCCTAGGCACCAGAAGTGATCATGCTGATGCTCGCTGCTCGACAATGATGGGGGAGTGCTGCGTTACCATCCAATTGTTATTGCCTTGATCTTTTTTACAGCTGGATGCACAGACCAACCTCAGCATCACTAATTTCGAGACTCATGGTCATATCTTGGAGTGTGCACTCTTCAGCAAGGTTGTGTCATCTCTAAATACTTGGTCAATCAAAAGTAGAATTGCCACTAGATGCCAAAGTCTGCACCCACCATCACCTTCTTCACAATGAAATCAATAACTGAGAAGAAAAGGAATGGGGAGAGTAAGTAGCCCTGTCATATTTCTGTGATGATGTTGAAATTGTCCACTTTGCCCTTGCTTGTCTTGGGCAGCAGCTAAAGAGACAATATAATACCTTGAAGATGTTAATATACTGGTCCAAAATGCCATACCATCTTATGATGTACCAGCGTGACTGTCAATAGATGTGTCAAAAGCCTTTTTGAAATCAATTAAGTTGATAACAAGTGGCTTCTGATGCTCTGCTTCATGATTTCCTGAGTTTAATTACCTGCTCCATATCATGATTTGCTATCACGGAAACTTCACTATTCTTCAAAAGGGGTACCCATTGACTTTAAATCTGTTGAGAAGTACTGTGCTGAAAGTTGTCCTAGGTACCAACAACACTTATTTCCCTCCAGTTGGTGTAGTCACTTAGTCTCCTTTTCTTAGGCATAATTATTCTTAGTCTGTAGTCATACAAAACATCCTCTGTAGTGCAGATCCTGTTGTATAGGTTCTTTCACACAGTTAGTACAATGTTCTTGACACATTTCAAATACTCTACTGGCATCATATTGACCCCAGATTCTTTCAGACACCTTTCAGACTTGTGATGGCTCTTTGGACTTCCAATCTTGCAATTTCACTCAGATTGACATTCACCTGCTGAGGTGCAGTGTGGTCATAAAATTCTAATATGGGGTAAGGGCTGGAATGGTTTGCAATCACTGGATGAAGATCCTGGAACCCTTTCCTAACTGTAATGTGGATACCTGTATAATGTGGTAACCTGTATAACATCAAGGGTTCAAGAATGAAGATTACTACCACCTTATCAAGAAAACTTAAAGATGGAAACCAAATGCTCACCTGGCCAGTGATGCCCAATACAGTGAATTCATACAAATCGAAAAAAATCTCCATTGGCTAACGTTCCAGCTAGGCCTGTATGTTGTTCCTAGGGTTTTTTTTAAAACCAATACCATAGAAGGGCAATAAAATCAAAATTCATGAACAGGACTTTGCTGGTAGAGCTGTTGTTTTAGCATTGTTCCGGCTCCGTTGAATTTTTTAAAAAAATATTCTTCTCATGCTTCCTGGAAGGACTTCATTCCATTCTCCCAGTTTCTCCCTTGCATCAGTTCTGATGATGCAATCTTCCACAACCTCACTTCCCAAAAGAGTATATCTTTCCTACCTTGATTGACAAGGTATCTGGACAGTGCCCAACTTATTTCCCACACTTCTGCTTTCGGCCCTTCCCCTCTTACAGAACAGCAAAACAATTCTCCTTGTTCACCCACCTGCCTTCACATTCAACACATCATCCTCTGCCATTGCTACCAGCTCCTATGTACTACGACTAAACATTTTCTACATCCGTCTTCGGTCAACATTGCAGAAGCTGTTCCCTCCAGTACAATCCCAGACACTTCCTCCCTTTCCAACAGGACCTTCCCATGCAAATGCAAGAGATTTAAGAATTGCCCTTCTTCCTCCTCTCTTCCCACCGCCTATACTCTAAACACACTTTCCAGGAAAAATCTTTCAATATAGTATACTGTGTTCAGTTTACAATGTGGTCCCCTCTACATTGGGAAGTTCAAACTCAGGTTACATTACCACTTTGTGGACATCTGTACTTGATCCACAAGGATGACCTTGAGCTTCCAGTTGCCTGCCATTTTAATTATCCATTTTGATCTCATGCTGCCATCTTCATCGTTGGCCTGCTGCCATGTTCTAATGAATCTCAATGCAAGCTCAAGGTACAGCATCTAATATTTTAAATTAGGCATCTACACGATTCTGGATTCAACAACTTTAGAACATTAACACTGTCCCTTGCAATTTGTTTCTGGTTGTTTTTATATATGCCAATCTTAATCTTACTATTCTGATGTTTTTGTTTTGGACCACAGCTACTCAATACGCTGCCATTCACATCTACGCTGGACAATTTTTTATTGCCACATCCAAGACAACCTACTTTATTTGTTGTGCCATGAAATCATTTTTGCTAGCCTCTATTCTGTTGCAGACCGATTCCTTTATTCTTCCCTCCCAGATTGCTATCACGTCCTTCTTACTTGCACAAGGTCTCACATTTCTATCTTCTTTAAATTCTGAAGAAGGGGCCTTGGCCTGAACATATTAACTCTCCATAGATTCTTCCAGCCCTGCTGAGTGCTTCTAGCATTTTTTGACTTTATTTTAGACTTCCAGCACCCAGTGTTTTATTTTTGCAACACAATGTTTCTGTTGTTCCTAAATCCACCATTTTTAATGCTTACTTCATGAAATGAAAACTGGAGGTGGGGGAGTCAAATTAACAGATAGGAAAATGTCTTCCAAATCTATTGGTGAAACAGGTAAATATAAGTTAGGAAATCAATACAGGAAGCTCTGCAACACCTCCAATAATATGACTTTTTGTAGCAGTTGGAGAGACCTCAGACAAGGTTGTCCATCTACCACATCTCTTGCTGAAAGAGGAAACAAGAACCTCAACTTAAAATTAGATCATGAACATATATATTTTAATATTGTTGAGATTTTTAAGGTGGAACAGTATTTTGATAACACTAAGTGTGCATAAAGAACAGAAATGTTATTAATTTCAAAAAAGCAAATTAGTGGCAAATACTTAACACAACAGTTACTTAAAGCAGCACCTTTTTTCTCTCTTGCTCAGCTGAACAGCCATCCACGTAAGTTCCTCCTAAGGATACACTTTGTAAGGAATCGAAGAGAGGCTTGGCCAGATTGGAATCAACAATACCAGAATGAACAAGTTGGTCTCGCATGTCAGTCAATATTTCATCCACAGAAAGGTTCTGGGATTTAAGAAACAGAAAATTTAAATTTCACAAATACTGTTAACAAAGTTCTGGAATTCCCTCCTTAAACTTCCCCAAGATGCTTCTTAAAATTAATCTCTCAACCCAAAACTTTAGTCACCTTAACTACTATTGCTTTACGCGATTCACTGACCAATTTTGTGTTAAAACTCTCCTAAAGAATCTCGTAATCATTTAACACATTAAACACACACCCACACAAACTATTGCTGTAATTCTTAGAAGCCTTACCTAGCAGTTGCATCAAAACACTAATGAACTCTTTATTACTACAGATTTCTGATGAATTGTTTTGGCCACTGTGGATAACTCCTTAGAAGCCAATGGAAAATCAACAATTAATCTCCCTGTGGTGTCCATTAATGCTCTCTGTGCCTTTAGAGAGAAATGGGCACTGCGGGGGATACAGTGCTTTATTTCCTGCTCCAATTCCATTTTGATTTAGTTCTTTCCCACTCTCCCTACCCCCTTCACTTTAATGGTTTGCATTGCCCATAATGGATTTTGCACGTAGATATCTAATTGGCTGCTATGGGTAGCATTTAATAGATAAAAATTTTTTTAAAAATCAGAGTGAGTTGGTGCAGGGAAAAGCTGTTCACTTGTGCATATAACATTTCTGAATATGAAAAAAGCAGACTCAGCACTCTTGTGGTGCAGAGGTAATGTCCCTCCCTCTGAACCAGAAGGCCTGAGTTCAAGTCCCACCTGCTTCAGATATGTGCTATGACATGTCTGAACAGGTTGATTGGAAAATATATTTTAAAAAATGCACATCCACTGGGCTTTTGTGGTGCAGTGGTAGACTCCCTGCCTCTGGTCCATGAGGCCTGGGTTCAAGCTCCATCTGCTGCTGAGGTGTGTAATGAGCAGGTTGATTAGAAAATGTTAAAAATAATAAAGCAGACTCACCCCAATCTCTTTGATGGTTCACATTGCCTATAATGGGCTTTTTATGTAAACCTCTCACTGGCTGCATGGAGTGATTACTGGTGGAGGTTAATAATTAACAACAAAAAAAAGTATGTGGCAGCATCTGTGAAGGAAGAAACAGAGTTAATGTTTCGGGTCCAGTGACCCTTCTTCAGAACTCTGAAGGGGGGTCACTGGACCCTAAACGTTAACTCTGTTTTTTCCTTCACAGATGCTGCCAGACCTGCTGAGCTTTTCCAGCAACTTTGTTTTTGTTCCTGATTTACAGCATCCGCAGTTCTTTCGGTTTTTAAAAAAAGTGGTTTGGTGATGGGAAAGTCAGTTGTGTGTTGATAACACTTCTGGACATAACGGAAAAAAAGCACTCCCTATCTCTGAGCCAGGAAGCTTGCATTCAAGTTTCACCTACCCCAGACAGACAATGTCGTAACATGTCTGAACAGGTTGATTTAAAAAAAGCAGAAAAAACCCACCTCTCATTCACATTGCCTATAATTGCCTTCACATGTAAACTTCTAATTGGCTGCATGGGTGATTACTGGTAATGGTTAATAGTTAAAAAACAAAACAAAATGACAGTGATTTGGTGGTGGGAAAAAACACTGTCGTGCATGATAACATTTATGGATGTTTAAAAAAGCAGACCCATTAATTGTCTTGCAGTGCAGTGACTGTGTCCCTACCAAGTCAGAGGCCTGGGTTCAAGTTCCATCTACTCCAGAAGTCTTTAATAATGTCTCTTTGAGAAAGTTAATTAGAAAATACCTATTCCAAATAAGTAAATTCTACTCAAGTAAACATGTATGAACTGTCAACAAATCGCTCTCCTGGTTAAAGACTAGATCTTGTGGCACGGTGGTAGTGTCCCCACCTCTGAGCTAAAAAGCCTAGGCTCAAGTCCCACCTACTCTAGAGGTATGTCAATAACAACCCTGAACAGAGTGATTTTGGAAAAAAGCAGTTCTAATTAATGATGCAGCGACAGTGTCCTTATCTCAATGAGCCAGTAAGCCTGCACTCAAGTCCCTGGTCCAGGAGGTGATAATAACATCTCTGAAGAGGTTGATTAAAAGAAGTAGACCTAGGGTAGGGCTTTTGTGGCACAGTGACAGTGTCCATACCTCTAGGCTGTGGAGGGCAAGGCTCAAGTCCAACCTGCTCCAGACATGTGTAATAACATATTTGAACAGGCTGATTCAAAAATGTAAATAAAAACAGAAAAAACAAAAACAAAGCAGACCCATGAGGTTCTTATGGTGCAATGACAGTGTGCCTACCTCTCAGCCAGGAGACCAACTCTAATCCAGAGTTGTATAATAATGTGTTCGAACAGATTAATTAGGAAAATATAAAAATAAAGCTGACCCAAAGGTTTCTTGTGGCAGTGGCAGTGTCACTACTTCCGAACCAGTAAGCCTGGGTTCAAGTCTCATCTGCTCCAGAGGAGTGTAACAGCATGTCTGAACTGGCTTATTGGAAAAAAAAAATCTAAAAGCAAATGCAGAGTTAGGACTTATCTGGTGCAGTGGTAGTGTCTCCACCTCTGAGCCAGGAAGCTTAGGTTCAAGTTCCACCTGCTCCAGAGATGTGTCATAACATCTCTGAAAAGGTTGACTGGAGAATTTCTTCAGGATAGGTACATGACGGCTCTTGTGATAGAATGGTAGTGTCTCTACCCCTAAGCCGAGAAGGTCCAGGTTCAAGTCCAACCTGCTGCAAAGGTTTGTAATAGCATCTCCGAGTTGGTTGTTTTAGAAGTGTCATATGTATTCTATTCAGGGAATTTGCTTCTGTGTAACTTTCTTTATAAAGTGGACCCAGATGGTTTGCATTGCCTGCAACGGGCTTCACATGTAAATATCCAATTGGCTCCAGAGGCGTTTTACCGGTGGCAGTTGACAGCTAAAAACAACACTTCCAGGTATTATTTTTAAAAATGAAGCAGACCCAGGGATAGGTCTGCAGAACTCTGTGCTGAGCTGGTACTATCTTACATTTGCCACAAGTAGTCATTTTGGTGCTCAACAATAAATAATATTCTTTTCCAGTCAGGCTTCCTGAGTTATTACAGCCACAATACTTGATGCTCAATTTTCAATTCCTGGGACATTGGGATTATGGACAGAAGTCCCCCCTCACTGAATTAGATACAAAAAGAGAAATTGCTGGAGAAGCTCAGCATGTCTAACAGCATGTATAGAGAGAAAACAGAGTTAACACTGAGTCCAGTGACCCTTAGTCAATGGATTGCATGTTGACAACTTAACACAAGAAACATTATCACTACCAAACATACCTGTGGAGTAGAGTCGAAGTCAGTTTTTCCAGAACTGTGTAGACAGATGGTTAATAAAGCTTCCAGAAGCCTGATACTATGGAGTTCCCATTCCTCCTCTGTTGTACGTTGTTGTGGAACAGAAACATTCCAATCTTTTGGTATCTTATCATCTCCAACAGCAAAACTCCATGCATCAAATTGGTCTCCAAATGCTGTTGTTTTTTGAACAAGTTCAGACTCTGGTTTAGCAGACTTTTCACAACTGCTGATATCTGACAATTCTTTTTTGGCCACCAGACTTGATGGTGAATGTGAGCCAATTTCTAATTCCTTTTGATTTTCACCCTGAGTAAACATATTAACTTGATTTGCTTTAATGGTGTCTTTCCTTGAGCTAGAGATCTGTTGAATGATCATTGTCATTAGTCTACGACAGATCCCCAGGCCACCAAGTTTATGGAACTGTTTCTGGAATACTATACTTTTCAGGTAGATACAACGACACACAGACCACACATCTGCTGCTTGCCTGATCTGCTCTTTTGAAGGCAAAACAACACTATCTGGTGACAAATGAGGAAGCTTGTTGCCCAGAGGCTCACTGGCTGTGCTATCGTAGCCTGAGGTGTCTTCAGAATCATTGGCAGATTCATGATCAGATTCAGGCTCTTGACTAATGCACAGGAACGCAACACAAAGAAACAAGTTTATTACATTTAAGTTGCTGTCGATAATTTTATCTTTCTTCTTCTTGGGGTATGATTCTTTGAGCACAGCATAAAATTTACTTAAACTTTGCGGCATCTCACTTCTATGCAGTGCAGCACATTGGCTACTTGGAGTATCACAGGGATCCAAAACAGAGTCTTCTGTATTAGTTTCTTCACCTTGCATTCCTGCATCTAGCTGTTGATCCCCAAGGCACAGAATTAAGGTTTCAAAAACCTTCAGTGCATACGATCTAACAGAGTCTAGATAAATTAGCTCGGTCATCTGATTTAATCCATTGCAGCTCAAAAAGAGGCCTCTGACTACCCTGTGGAAAACAAGCACACATTTTTTTTTTTTTTTTTTACACAAAATAAGCTTTTCCAAAAGAAAAATAATTCAACATGTCACATTATATTTAAGAACAAAGTGCTGGAAAATAACAGAGGTCCACACCATCTGAAAAGAGAAAAAGCAGCCTATAGTTTATCAAGCAGGGGGAGGTTCGGACAAAATACTATTTGTTTGACTTTTTGATTTGTGCTGTCACTTCAACATGGTATCTTTGTAGACAAATGGAGTTTAATAAAATGAATGGCCCAATTTGATTACAGTGATGATCTCTGGTTTGGGTCTCAAAAAACCACTGCTCTTCTTTGTATGGATTGAGATGTCCCAAAAAAGGGGAAGATTTTCTGCTGGTCAGACAGTCAGTCTGCAAGTGTAGAGGGCTTGTGGTACAGTGGTAACATCCCTACCTCCGAACCACTGAGGCCCAGGTTCAAGTCCTATCTGTTCCAGATGTGTGTAATAACATCTCTGTACAGGTTGAAAAGGAAATAGTTGTTTTTATGTATAGGAGTTGTAAATGGGGACCCTGCAAAATTCCCATCATAGCACATTCCAAAGGAATTGCATTTGAAATTGAATTTTCTAGGCAACTCCACCACACCTGGAACTCTACAAAAGTCTCTATTTAAAAGATAATTGGAGACTTCAGATGAAATTAAGTAAAACAGTCACTATTAAATACATTGTCTGATGCCTGAGTATTCAACAGACTCCATGTGCATCTCACTCTCAGACCCCAGAAACCCATTCACTCTTCCTGCTTCTACTGATCTAACCTGACCCCTGAACCCCAGCCCCCAAATAAGGCCACCGCCACAGGTCCAACCCCAACTTCCCAGCCCACAACCCAATTTCTCCAGCCCCCCCGACTTACATGATCCTTTGCCACATTGCACCCTGGCACCGACCCGCACCCCCAGCTGACACCCCTATGTTATTGCTACTCTACGTCTACCCCAGCTGGCACCCCACCACTTGCCATTCTACTTATCTAGCACCCAACCCACCCAGCATTCTATCATCATACTGACTGTATGTATCTCCCTTGGACAGTAGCTGTCAAAGTAGCTGTCTGGACTTTTACAATCAGAACATATTTGAGGGAGACCCAAGCAGAACTTCTCTTTTCTTTCATTTAAAAAAAATCTGGCCCAAAGTAATTTGTTTCCAGGAATAGCCAAAACCATCAATTTGAACCTTACACATCACCTGAGTTGCAGGTTTCATTGGTGGCTGCATCCGAATTGAAGAGATACAATTTTGATTTTCTACATACACGATATATATCATAGAAAGCAGAAGGTACACCTCATGTGCGCTTTCATTAATTCAACTGCCCTGAAGTCAAAGAGCAATAGAGACTTCTGCGAAATTAATAACAATGTTATAGCCAAGTTATGGTAAAAATCTAAGATGCACTCTAACCTTGAAACGTTACCCACATTGTTCCTTTTCCAAACATTCACTCGTGTCAGTATTTTCTAACTAATTCAGATTTCCAGCATTTACAATCTCTTTACACAACAGTTTTAAATTATTGTAGATAAAACTGACTCGAAGACTTACATACATCCAACACAAACACTGCCTCTCCCTTCAAATGCCTAGCATTTAGATACAAGTTATTACATTATAATTAATAGCAATAACTTGTTGCAATCAGGTTCAGTGTTTCATACTGTTATATCAAGAAGAATGCTGGACCTATAAAAGCTGAAGTCTAGCTGTTATAACTCCCAGAGTGGCATTGGGTAAATAAACATAGGTCAAATTTAAAACATTAGGACAATTAAAAATGTTTCATACTGCGGATAAATATGTTGAAAGCCTTGAAATGCCTCAGGGTGCATCACAACTTATTAGAAAGAACTGCACAGGCAAATAGAATATAGCAATCAAGAAAGTCCGGCAAAATGAGGTGAACAAAAGGCCTGAAAACACATATGAACTTGCAATCAAGCGGTGAACTAAATCCTTGATAGCATTTGGAGAAACTCAACAGGTCTGGCAGCATATCTGGTGAGAAAACAGAGTTAACGTTTCAAGCCCAGTGACCTTTCTTCACAACTGCATTACTCCTTTCATTTTCACAATATCTAATTACTTACTGAAATGAAACTCTACATGACTCCAAAACAAAAAAAAGGTAAACAAGATATAATGCCTTGCTCACCTTGACTTAAAGAGTGAAGGCAACGTGTGCAAGTGAAGCTGAAGAACATCACGAGACAAACATCTGTTGTGATAGCTGCATACTTCAGTACACGCTGTCACTATTCCTAGTTGCTGTGTATGATGAGATAGCTCCACTCCTCTTTGAAGCACGGTATTAAAGATATGAGTGTAAAGCTGCCATTTAATGACAGCATTGCCTTTTTGTATTAGATGGCATATATGGCTAGCAACTTGCAAACTCAGCTGTGCATCATCAATGAAGAGAAGATCTTGGTATGCTTTCAAAGCCTCCCACATCCACGTTTCCCTGGATCCTCCACTTGGCAGAATACCATCTGTTCTGTAAATGGGGTTGACAAGACTGGATGAGGAACTAATGTTTATAAGACCTCCATGTAGAATTTCTGCAATATCAGGTATCTGGCTACTATCAACAGAGCAAATGTTACAATTCACTTGTTTCGTTTTCACTGAAACCTCCTCACCCCCAAGCTGTTCAAGGATAAATTTACTCAGAATACTCAAGATGTGCTGATGACAGTTCTTTAAAGTTTGCAGTTTTATCGCATGAATCATGGGGCCAATGATAGACCTTGGATCCATACAACAACAAATTCCCACAGCATGTATGCCTGATAAAATTTGTACACAAGTGCTACTTAAGCAAACTTCCTGAAGCAAGTGCAGACATTGGTAGGCATACACTGCAATGCAGCAACAGCGATCAGGATAGTAAACTTCACCATCTAGTGTCATTTCAAAAGGATTTTTGGACAGCTGATTTCTGAATGCTGCAACTGGGAGGCCAGACAGATTTCTATGATGATGCATGAAGTGAGAATACTCACAGCGCCTGTGCCGCTTGCGTGTACAAACAGACTGATGGAGTTGTTCTGATTTTACTTTTTTGATAATCCTAATTATTTTCATGACACTACTGATTAAGGATTTGATATGCTCTGCTGCCTCAGTAGACTTCGGATCATCTTTTGCAACCAATCTTTCCATCTGAAGCACTATCCCTTCAAACAACTCAAAGCCATGATGCTGTGTGAACTCATGGACAAGGTCCATAGCCTGACTGAAGGAGGAGGGATTGGAGGATGCTGTTTGTAGGGTACAAATTAAGATTTGCAAAACCACTTCAAGTAACTCTGGCACCAGCAGAATTTTGTGACAAGACGTTGAGAAAGAAAAATCTTCACTGAACTCCTGGAAAGTCATCGTCAGTCGTGGGACAAAGGAATCTGTACAGTTATCAATGTAGCTCTTAATCTTCAATGTCACCCTCAACAAGTCTGCAATATTTTTCCTTAGTGTATCTGGCATTTTTCCTCTGCAATTTATGTCAACTGATAAAAGATGTAACACCGTTCGTAAAAGCATCCTTTGTACCAGGGCTGCAGGCTCTGGGGTCCATCCTGCAGCAACTTCCTCAGCATTTGATACATTGCCATTGCAGCAGTTTCCAAACCCTGCCAAAAATTCTGTCAATGTGGGAACAACGTTCACAGTTAATGCTGGATTGTGATTTAAGGCCATGTCAAATTTGCAAACTTTTTCTAATAGAGACAACAAAACACGACAGAGATCAAATGGAGTATTTTCCGAAATATTCAACACAGAGGACTCCATATCTACTTCTTGCAGCACAGCAGCAGTACATTCTAAACTTAAGTCATGCTGAGCAACTTCTCCAACTTTTAAAGACAGAAGAAAACTGTCCTTAGAAGCACTACAGTCCTCTCTTGACTGGCATGTTACAAAAGGTTGCAAAGTCTGCTGTCGTCTTTGTCTGATCATGAATGAACTCTTGTCATCTGAATTGGTTTCAGAATCAGATGTGGAGAGCGCTGTTTTCCTGGCCTCCCTCAAGGAATAGCGGTGAGTGTTTCTATGTTGTTGTCTTGTCTTCCAGTTGCTAGTTTTGCATTGTGATGATACCTGAGCATATAAAACTGAGCTTTTGTCTGGGATGTGAGTTACTTTTTCCTGAGATCTGGTTGCAGAATACTTGGTCTCTTTGGTAAACAATAGGTGTTCTAGTGCAGATAGGTTGTAATCTTTAAAAAAAAACAGAAAAGCATCATGAAAAGCTATTTGTGCAAAATGTTGCCACATCAGGTTGTTTACTTGTTTAAAAAAATTAGTACAAAACAAACTCAATGCCCATAAGCACACTGACTCTAGATTTAAACCACAAGTTTAACATTCACATGAAGCAGAAGTAATTTAGCATCATCACCGAACTAGCATTGCAAATAACCTCAAGAATGAAGGTTGCATTTGAAACTATCCTTAGGATGCTTCACCAAATAACTGCAACACATTTAAGTGACACTGTGTTCTACACTAAGTAAGATTACATTCATACTTAAAATCCTATAATTACTGTTCTAGCAATTAGTAAGAACAACCTATTTTTATGGCAAATCTGATTTCAATATTTTAGCAAGAGTTTCACATTTTCTGAATCAAATCAAGTAACAGAATGTGAGCACTCAGACACTGGATATTACTGAATGGTGAGTGGTCTAATTAAGAAAATATTGCACAAGGTGGCTCGTGTTGGCCTTTGATTCTAGCTCATCCACTATACTTAAAATCGATCAATCGAATCAACCAGAATCCATTTACTTTTTAAAATCTTCGCTCCGGAACCTGCTCAGTTGATCCATTCTAATTCAACCCCAACTTTTGAAACTTCCACATTATGTACATGAGCCTGTATAAACTGCGCAGTTGTTGTGATCACATGGAAATTTTTAACTGTTTATGATTATAGATATTTTCTTCAGAGATGTCATTACATATTTCTGGAGCAGGTGGGAGCCTTGTCGGAGACGGTGCAGGCGGCTAATCTGATCAGTATAAGAAAATTGATGGCCAGTCATAAATCGAAATTAACACTTAGTTTGCATGCCCAAGATATAATTTTACATCTTCAGGATCATGAAGTGATCTTCAGCAGTTTATGTTAAGTCACCTTTGGTGGAAGGGAATGGATAGCGTATTACAGAAAAATGCTATCATAGGAATTTTGAACAACAATTAGTCTCGCTGTCAAAGAATTGTGCTCTAGGGGAGCTGCTGTTTTCAGGTCAAGAAACAGTACCATGTGTTCCTCTACATAAATGGTAGATCTACTTAACCCAAAAAACAAACTAAAGGCTGTCAAGTACTATCAATCCTCCTCTTGGAGATCATACAAGCAGAGGTTAATTTTCTTAAGCTTTTACTTCTGAGCCCTGTTTGCTTTCGCAGAATTTGGTGGTAAAACTCTAGTAATGTGAAAATTAGGTCCTCACCATGGAATTTCAAAATACAGTCAAAAAGGCTGTCAACACCATGAGAAAGAATTCTACCCTGACAGTCTTAGAGCAGGAGTTTCAAGTAACACGGACATAAACGAAACTACAATTTTACTAGTTAAACTTAAAAAAAAAGGATGTTACATCAATGAAAACAAAGTAGAAGACTTGCCACAAAGAGCTTGACTTCAAGGTCTTTGTTGCAGGTCATGACATAAATACTGGCATTTGATGCAAAAATCAAGTTCTGAGCAGCTGCAATTTTGGTCAAGCTCATCAGTAGATGGTTTACCTTAAAGAGACAAAATATTTAAGGTGGTGAAGGAAGAGAGATACTCTCGATCAGAAGGAGCAACAGGTGCAGTGACTTTAGTACAACCACCAAATCTTACCATATTTGGACAAAAAAAACACCTGAAAATAAGAATTCTACACCACAGCTAAAAGGTAAAAGAAATATGAGGAAGAATAAGCTATTGCTCTTTCAAACCTGTCATTCAATAAGATCATGGTTAATCTTCAGCCTCAATTTTACCTCCCTGTATAATTCCTATGTATCAGATTTTAATCTGAATTGCTCAAATTTAACACAGCGCAAATTAAGGTTAGTATTTTATGTATACAATACAACACTGCAAGAGGTGGATGTTCAGAAATATTATTTCCAGCATATACACTGGTGACAAGATAATCCTTTATTCATTCTCTTTTATGTTTACGAATATAATTTGAACATTAGGTCAAGTTTTTCTCACCAGGAAAAAAAGTCCAAACTGTAACATGAAAACAGTGACTCAGGTTTTCACACATACATGCTGACACACCAATTAACTGATGAGCTCATTTAACACTCAAGTCAGTCACCAACACATCTGAAATATTAACAGATTCCTGTGAAAATCATTTACAAATAGATGAAAAGTTAAAATGCAAAGTAATATAATTCCAGCAAATGAAATGTGTTTGGAATATTTGGGTTTGTTTTCAAGGAGAAAGATAATGAATTTTAAAATTTCACTTCAAAGTTTATATACTGTAATTGGAGTTTATATACTGTTCTCATAGAGGCATATGTTCCCCCACTGAAACTTCGATCATCTGTCAAGGCTCATTCCCCAATACAAGTATGGCCCCTTTCCTAGTTGGACCATACACAATGTTTTCAGAAATCCTTCTGGACGCTCAAATTCTGTCCCATCCATGCCCCTGGCAGTAGGAAGTTCCAGAAAATTACCCAATATAACAACCCTGCTGATTTTACATCTTGCCACGATCTACCGATATATCTCATGTCCCAGTGGCTGCTGGGACCCCTGTGGCATAACTGCCTCTTTGCAGTTGTAACATTCTCCTTAATCAGGAATGCAACCCCACCCACCCCTTTTACATCCCTCTCTATCATGTCTGAAACATCTAAAACTCGCAACACTAAGCTGTCAGTGCTGCCTTTCTCTCAGCCAGGTTTCTACAATGACTACAACACTGTAGTTGATGTACTAATCCAGGCTCCAAGCTCATCTGCCTTACCTGTTATACACGTTGCATTAAAATAAGTACACTTCAGACCTCCAGTTCAGCAGTATTTATTAACCTGGCCAAGTGTCAGGCCACTGGACCTGAAACATTAACTGATTTTTTTCTTCACAGATGCCGAGCTTTTCCATCAATTTCTGTTTTTATTCCTGCCTGTTCTTCTTTTTACACTACCAAACCACCTCAATCACTCCACATGCTGAGCTACTGCCCTGGTTCCCACCTCCCTGCCACACTAGTTTAAATCCTCCAGAATGGCACTAGCAAACCTCCCTGTAAGGATTTGGTACCCCTCCAGTTTAGATGCAACCGTCCTTCCTGTACAGGACCCTCCTGCCCTGAAAGAGATCCTACACCAGCTCTTTAGCCACTCATTCAACTGTATTATCTTCCTATTTCAGGCTCACAAGAACATGGTGCAACCCTGACATCACAACCCAAGAGGTCTTATTTTTCAAATTTCTACCTAACTCCCCTAAATTCCCTTTGCAGAACCTCACATTTTTCCTGTCGATTTCGTTAGTACACATATGGACCATGACCTCTGGCTGTTCATCCTTCCCTTTCAGAATATCCTGGGCCCAGAGACATCCTTGATCCAGGCACCAGGGAGGCAATACACCATTCTGGAGTCTCAGGCTTCTCTGTGGCTGCGAGTATCAGTGCCCTGACTAGAGAGAGTTCCCTATTGCTATTGCTCACCTACACTTTGACCCTCCCTGCTGTACAACAGAGCCAATTGTGGTGCTACTGATCTGGCTTCTACTGGTGCTTTTGTCTGAGAGGACATTCTCCACCAAAACTGTATACTTGTTGAGGGAATAGCCATAAGGAACTCTTGTACTGCCATCTGTATGGCTGAACCTTCTGGTGTGGCCATATCCCTGAAACTCCTATTGATAAAACGGTGTCTCCTGTATGCTCCTCAATGAGTCCAAATGCTGCTAATCAACCACGTGGTCCGACAGAATGTGGGCACACTCCTGCAGACATTGTTGCCGGGACATAGGATTTCTCCCTGATCTCCCATATTTCACAGGAGGAGCATACCACTCCATTATCTGCCATTACCACACCTCTAGTACTAGCATTGGGAAATGCCAACAATTGTGTTTAATAACTATTTAAAAAACAAAATAATTTCACCAAAAATCTCCTCAAAATGTTTGTGCTCTAATTAAGGCTTAAATGAATCATTATTTGAAAATAAACACTCGTTTCATTATTCAGTGTGGTAATTCAAGTGATTAAACTAAAAAGTAAAATCAGAGGCAAGAAACAACAGCAGTAAATACTAGAATATTAAGACCTCCTGTACAAAACGAGGCAAAATAAGAAAAATTCTCAATTTAAACTAAAAAAAATGACATTGAATTAATTTTCATTTACGTAGGACCTTTTTCATCCTCAGGATACTGTAATGTGCTCTACAGTGACAAAATACTTTTCAAGTGCAATCACTTTCGTATAGGGAATACAGAATCAATGTGCACATGGCAAGGTCCTAAAATGCACCAAAATAAGCATCACAATCTGTTACAGTGATGATGGTTGAGAAATATACCTATCCAGAAAATCAGGGTGAAAGCCACTGCTGCTTTTTCAATAATGAATTGGTTGTATTCACTTGGGAGAGGATACCGCACCTTGGTTTAAAGCTTATCCAAAAGATGACACACTGAACAACATTGCACTCCCTCAATAGTGCAATGAGTTCTCAGTGGTACTCAGCCAAGATGCTGCTGTTAGGTCTCTAGAGTTTGATGTGAAGCCAACATCTTCTGACTCAGAAGTGGAGGTGCTACACAAACCAAGGCTAAATATTATAAACACTGACCTGAAGAAAGAAATATCTGTGCATATTTTTTAAAATGACATGTTAAAATAGATCAGAAAATTATTAAGTGAAAATGTATTGTTTCGTTATCGAACAACTTATTTTTCAATATTTGCAGACTTCATTTAGCACAATTTATTTTCTTTCTCATGGTAATGCCACCTTTATTAAAATGCCTATTACAAAAGATTAGGCAAAAGGTGTTCATAGGCACAGTTCAGGCATTTTGATTTGATTTGATTTTTTGTAGTCACATATACCCAAGTACAGTGAAAAGCTTTGTTTTGCGAGCAGTACAGGCAGATCGCAGCAAACAAGGATATAGAGATCACAGGGTGCTTAGAGCGAGGCATACAAGGTTATGATTGCACAGAGCAAGATCAACATCAGCAAAATCGATATTTGGACACCGCACGGAGTAGAGCACTCAATATTATAGCAGAAACAATATTATTAACTAAGTTTCTTCGGCTTTGCATAATTTAGTTTTTAATTCGTGCCTCTTTAAAAGGGGATTCTTCTGTTATTCTTTTTAATTTCATTCAGGCAACCCAGCCATTCCCCATTGGTCAGTTTAATACACAGTCCGAGCCAGAGAAGGGGCAGATGGCACTAAATCACTGGATTCTGTGCCGATGGGAGTCTGGATTGAACTTGTAGTTTTTTGCATTTTTTGGACAGTTTTTTTTTTTTTTAAGTTTGCCGGATTTTTGTTCTTGCTTTTTGTTGTGAGGTCTTTAGAGTGTTGCAGAGTAGCAACTTGTTCCAGTGGTTTTATTACACGCTGTCTGCCAGTGAGCTATGCAAGATCCTCAACTACATTAGGGATATAGTGTGCCAAGGGAGTGGCACTGTTGATAAGCCCCAGAGTTCACTTGGAGATGCTGTCCAACAGCAGGAGCTCAGCACTGGGTATCAGCCTAACTCCATCTTTGGGCCCATCAGGCACAGCCTACAATAATTTGTTCCACACTGTGCAGAGGTTGAACACACAGGTAATGGATCTATCTGCCCTACAACTTGTCAACCAAGCTATTCATGGGCATGAAGACAGGACTGGTGGAGCTGTCAATCTTTGGTATGACCATGAGGAATTTCTATTGTGGTAGTCAGGTTCAAGGGGAAGGAATATCACAACGAAATGTAATTATGGAAAGCCCATAACTTTGAAATAAGAAAGGGGGATTTAGACAGATACTTGAATGGGAGTAAATGTTGCAGGAAAGAGCAAGGAAGGGTGGGACCTAAATGGTAGCTCTTTCAAAGAGACAGCATAGCCGAGTGAGCCATTTGGCCTTCTATCGTGCTGGATTATTCTACAATCTTTAACTCCTCCAAATCAGGAATGTGTACACACACTCAGCTCTGAGACAAAGTCCCAGAGTTCGAGATCTGATTGCCCTTCAGCATGAGCCCGAGAGCACGTAGCTATTTGTCCACCTTTGGCTTCACTCTCCAGCTCCATGCAGGCACTGACCAACTAAAGGACTAGAGGATCCAAAGCTCATTGCAAATGCAGAACCTAGCATTAGAAGAATGCAGCAAAATATAACAATCATGGTTGTTCTCGAGTGCGAGCTAAAATTACTTCTTGTCAATAATAGAAGACTCTAATTGAAAGAAAGACAGCACAAATAATTTCACTGCTTGAAAGGCATTCTTTTTAAGCCATGTCTTAAGTGTATGGGCTCAATTCCTGTACAAGCGGAGGTTACCATGATGGACTTTCCTTCTCGAGCTCTCCCTGCACCTGAGGCTTGGTGGCCCTGTGTAGTTTCCCAGTTATTCCCTAGGACTGGAGGGCTTGAGTTATAAGGAGAGGCTGGATAGGCTGGGACTTTTTCACTGGAGTGCAGAAAGTTGAGGGGTGACTTTATAGAGGTTTATAAAATCATGACAGGCACAGATCAAGTGTCTATTCTCTAGGTAGGGGAGTTCAAAACTAGTGAGCATATTTTTAACATGAAAGGAGAAAGATTTAAAAGGGGCCTGAGGGACAACGATTTCACACAGAGGGTGGCTCATATGTGGAATATACTACCAGAGGAAGTGGCAGATGCATGTACAGTTACAATATTTAAAAGACAGGTACATGACTAGCAAAGGTTTAGAGGGATATGGACCAAATGCAGCAAATGGGACTAGTTTAGTTTGGGAAACTTGTTTGGCATGGACAAGTTGAAATAAAGGGTCTGTTTCCGTGCTGTATGACTCAATAACTCTAAGTAATACTGTTGTTCAATTGAGTTCCTCATTATGGCAACAGAACTTGAACTTGCATTTATACTACCTTTTGGACCTTTATCTTTCTTTTGTGTCCTTGTGTGTTTTGTGAAAGTTTTAAATAGATGCAATATTGCTTTTATAGTGTGCCTTTCATAAATTCACAAGCATGTTTCTTAGCTGCTACGTTGGTAAAGGGGTTAGTAGTACAAACCTGATTCCTATAAATACGAGATTAGGCTGATGGTGACAAATCAGTGAATAACCTTGTACAGATGTCTAAAATGTAAATTATTTCAAATAAAATGTTTCCAATTTCAGTTTATCTCTTTATATTCCATGGGTTTTCAGTCCAATTAGTTTTTTTGATGCACTTGTTCAAAAAACAGGACTCTTATAACACATTCACTTCTTGTCATATAAACCGAGCCACTCTAGCGTGATATCAGTAATGGATGAATATAAATGCAAACTTTTGAATTACTGGAGGCTGTGATTCAACATGAACAGCTTAAATTAAAGAGAATTTATTGATGATACTTGAAAAGAGGAAAAGGTACATGCATGATGAGGTTGTTTCGGTCAGTTAGCTAGACAGCTGGTTTGCGATGCAGAGTAACACCAAAGTGTGGGTTTAGTTCTTGTACTGGCTGAGATTATCATGATGGACTCTCATTGTCAACCTCTCCCATCGCCCGAGAAATGGTGACTATCAGATTAAACTACCACAGTCGTCTCCCTCTAATCAGAAGACAGCCCTATGATCCAATAGGACTATGATGATTTTATTCAAGAAATAGGACTTTTTGGAAGTTTGTTAGTTCAGTTGGCTGGACAGCTGGTTCGCAATGCAAAGTGATGCCAATAAATTGGGTTCAATTCATAGTGCCAATAACAAGGAGGCATAATTTTAATGTGGAAGGTAGGAGGCTCAGAGGGGATTTGAGGAAAAATGTTTTTGCCGAGACAGTGGTGGGAGTCTGAAATGCACAGCCTTGGAGAGTAGTTGAGGCAGGAAACCTCAAACTTTAAGTAGTATTTGGATGCGCACTGGAAGAAGTGTCATAAATTCAAGGTATACGGGCCTAGTGTACTTAGCATTATATTTTTGGAAGTACAGATTTGATGGAAAAAGGGCATCTTCTCGACTATATGATTCAAAAATTGAGGCAGCAGGTCAAAGAGCTGAGGTGATGAGTGACTGAAAAACAGGAGATGCAACAGGGCCTATGATTTCTCTCCCTGGCCCTAAATACAGTAGAAACAGGTTGTCTGAGAAATGCAGGAGATGCATTTGTAGCTCCTGCTATAGTATGTGACAATGTAGCCTGAAAAGATAGTGGGAATTAATAGCTACATTCACTATACCAAAAATACCTGAATGCAATGGCTACCAGTGGTCAACAAACAAACAAACTGACAATTCTTTAAAGTACATATACAAGGATTAGAAGAATAAAATGATTTTCATGACAGACTCAAATCAATAGACTTACTCAATTTCTAAATGTATTTGTGGTTTTTAATTGGGTTTTAAAAGTCAAAGTTGACAAATTGATACTTAAATGGGTGACGTTAGTCAGAAGAATTATTTTTCAGCTCAGGTTTTCATCTATCATATACAATTATAAAAATCACTTAAATCGCTCTCAGTGAACATTCATTTCAGATTTTGAGCTATGTATCTGAAGTTAACTCAACCATTTCATTAGACTATTTGATGAATACCTTTTCCTTCAAGAACAGGAAATTGAACCAAAAATACTGTACTCAACATTTTATAACTACTGTTTAAAAAAGTCAATTCCTACTTCTAATTATTATTGCGTCCCAGCCTAACTTTATTTCTATGTAATTCTATGAAGTCACCTCAAATAATTACGTCCATCAAAAACTGATCATTTCCTTAGTTTTGATTTATTATTACTGAATGCAGCAATAATGTTACATAAACGAAATGTGCATTTTGTTTTATTAACTTGTTATCACACTAAAGAAATGCCTCATGGTCATTTATTGCCTTGTGAATGGAGAATAAATGGCAAGATCCTCCTAGTCCATTTATTATGGATTACATTGGCTTGGTAGTTCAGCTGGAGAACTTATAGCTTTTTATACTTAATTTTATTTAATATATACATTTTGGAGGCATTTTCTCACTTTATGCACAAGAATGCATGCTTAACACTAGTAACATCACTAAGTTTGCACAGTTTATCGACAAGCAAAAGAGCATTAGTTTGTAATTAAGAGTGATGTTTGTCACATTGTTACGGATCCAACAGATTTCAAATTATTTAGCAATTTTGAGGCATTCTAGAAGTGCTTCCATCATAATTTCAGTTGCTGGGGTCTCAAATGGCTGCAAAGCTTTTGTCTTTCTTTTGAAACACAAGGTATTTCATATTTTCTGACTTGAATGAGAAATTTTGTTCAGATTGTATGGTCCAATTTCCACTCTTTAGTAGAATATTGTTCTAACCACACTTGCAAATTAAGCATTTGATAGTTTTTTTTGGATTTACTACTGCAAGAATCCATGGCACTAAGTCCTCCCTACAATCCAGGTCTAAACAAATCAAATCTACTACATAATAAGATAAGAGAAATTCTGAACTTTTGCCATAACTAAAGGATGAAAATCTATATGAAATTCATTTTACTTACATAGCAAAGAGCAGCTCCTTAAGTACATAACAATCCAGTCACATCAAATCTGAATCGAGTAATTCCACCAAGACATGCCAGTTTTTAACTGTTACATGTAATGTCGCTACTATGCTTTAAATGAATAAGCAAATCATAAAAGGTATCTCTCAACGAGTATCTGTTGGCATTCCATAAATATTACTAGACACAATGCTCAAATAAACAAATAGGAATAGTAAGACAGACCTTTCGGAGCTTTCTGTTCTTGAACAGGTATCTTCCAGACAAGAGGGAGAAGTGACAGGAGTAGAGTCAGCAATTCCTCTCTGCAGGTTAATTCCTATCAAAAGACAGTAACCAATGACATGAGCAATTAAACCTTATCCAAAGCAAGCTTCCAATCACTTGCCTGAAAAATTTCCAAGTCAGCCTGGAATCAGAACCAATGCCTCAGGCATATCAACCAATCAGAATATGCAGCTGACATTTCACACTTCTCTGTGAATACTTCTAATAATAACAATGCAGTTCAGACCTCTCAAATTAAAAGAATTCCTCATTGTGAAACGAAAAGAGACATCAAGTGAAAATTAAAAATAAACAATGTGTTCTGAAAACAAGGTTAAATATGAAACAGTGAAGTGGCTATTTTTGGACCTCCACGGTCTGCTGCTACTGAGGCTAATAACACAGCACTGCTAAATACTTATCAATTCATCGGTTACAACTTAGAATGCCATTTGGCCCATAATTTCTGTGCCGGCTCTCTGCAACAGCAATTCAGCTAAACTACCTCTCCACGTTTTCTTGTAGCCCTGCAATTTTCTCCTCTTTAGTTGTTTATCCAATTCTCTTTGTAATGTCACCATTTGCCAGATAACGTTGTATCTGCCACCTTCACATCTCAGTACATTTCAGAACCTCAATCCATAAAGAAGCTTCCTCAGTTTCCATTGGTTCCTTTGCCAATAATCTTAATTCAGCGTTATCTGGTGCTCAGCCCTTCTGCCAATGGGCGCTGCTTTTAATTTCACTTGCCTAATCTTCTCATAATTTTGAAATATGACACTAAGTCTCCTCTCAAACTTCCCTTTCTTAAGGATAAAAACCAAGTTTTTGCAATCTATTTAATGAGGACCACATCACTAAGATTATTCTCATAAACCTTTTCTATATGATCTCTATACCCTTCACATTCTCCCCAAAGTCAGTTATCCAGAATTGGATATAATACTCCAGGTGAGGCTGAAAGTGAGTATTAGAAAAGCTTATTATAAAACTCTTGCTTTGGTACTGCATGGACAGTATTTTACAAGCTATTAATGGCTAGAAAACAGAAAGGTAGACCCTAAATTAAAGTGCCATGCCAATGGCAACATAACTGGCACTGGTTTACCTGTTTCACACTTCTACAATTTTATGTTGGGTGGGCTTCAAACCTGTTGCCCTTTTTAGGTCCTTAAGTGGGCAATTAATGCCTAATTAAGGGCATCATCCTGTCATTCCTCCAATATAATGAACGTTGAGAGAGGCTTCTACACACAATGTGGCTAGACAGGTTTAGCCCTACAGACTATCCACGCTATGTCAGTGAGAGCCCAACTTACCCCAACACAGTTGTTCTTCTTGTTTCTCACCATCGCCCTGTAATTGGGGCCTGTCACTCAATGCTGATTATATCTCAGACTTACCTAAATGTCCTAGAACCTGGCTGAGCAAACCCTCTTTGGTCTACCAGCAGCATGTGCAGTGCCCACCATTCCCACCTAGTGCCACTGGTACACAGAGTTGCCAGCCAATGTTTGCCCAGTGCTTGGCTATACATCCCAGTTGTCATAGATCAGGGGCCCACGTCAAATCTTGTTCAAAGCAAGGTGCCAACTTTTAACAAACAGAGTGACAAGACTTTTGTCTCACTACCTGCAAGCCATCACAACTGCCTGACACAGATAGCCTAAACTTTGAGTGTGCCCCAAAGAGAGAGACAGGAAAATAGTGGCTGCAAAGAACATCACAGGAAAAAGGTTTTTCGCCCAGTCAGCCAACATGATGGATGCTCGTAATTCAGTTAATTTCTTAGAACTAAAGATATCCACTAACTAAAGATGTCCTCCACCCGTTATTGTTTTTTTTCAACCATTTGATCATATTCTCTGACAAATGAACTTCAACTTCCTTTTCTTTATTCTTTGATTTCTCCTCCTGATTCAACCTGTGTCTTTGTGATCTTGTTATCAGACAGTCAGGAAAAATCCTAGGATGTACTTCCTGTAAAACCTCAGTAGCCTGATTTTTCACCAGCTTTTCCACCACGGTAGGAACACTCCCACCTGTGATCCAGCAACATCACTACCAAGGATAAATTGTATTCCTGGAACCGAGAATTTCTCCATTACTACTACCACCACTTTATCACTTTCAACCGGACTTTCCAACATCACTTTATATAATGGAACACTGCTCTTCTCACCATGAATTCCACATATTACCACCTTTTCTGGCAGTACTCCTGAATTACATATCTCCTCATCTCTCAAAGACCAACTTGCTCCTGTATCTCTTACAATCTTAATTTCTTTACTGCTCCTCCTGGCATACTTGAGTAGACTTACCCTTGCAAGTAAATTCTTTAAAGACATTTGGCACTTTAGTCTCATCCAACCCTAACTATGTTGTACATTCTGTTGCAGCTTTTTAAGATTCCACTGTGCTTTCCTTTACCACTTTAACAAAACCTACTGGCTTATCCTATTTTCCCACATTCGTCTTCCCAACACTACTTCTATACTCCAACACTGACTTCATGTGGCCTACTTTATTGAAGTGAAAACACCAGAGGTTTTTTTTAAAACATCTCTTTGCCCCTCACAGGTTTCCTTTTTACCCTGTGGTAAACTTATCTTTATTATCTTCAGTGAGATCTCCTTTTCCCTTTCCAACTGAAGATTTCTCTTTTCACCTATTTCTATCCTTCATAGACTGAAAGTGATGTCAGAAGCCAAGCTTTGATTTATGAAGCAACTTAATCATCTGCCATTTCTGCTGCTAATCTTGCAGATTTAATTCTCTACTCTTCCATGAGTTCTCACTACCACAGAAAGTGAATTTTTGAATTCCTCCAAAATAACAGTCTCTCTAAGAGTGTCATGTTTTCAATGCCCTTATCCACCTATCAAAATTACATTGTTGGATCCTTTCAAACTCAAATGTACATTTGACCAGAGTCCCTTCTTAGATTCCCGAAAAGGTGTCTGTAGGCTTCTGGTAATAGCTCACATGCACTTAATTTCAACTCATCATACTCCCCAGATTCCTCATCGGAGAATGATGCAAATACCTCACTAGCTCCACCGACCAACTTTGTTTGGATCAACAGTACCTACATGGTCACCAGCCATTTCATTTCTTTAGCCACTTTCTCAAATGAAATGAGAAAAACATCTTCATCCTTTTTGAACTTAGGCATATTTAAATAGATCCCCATTGGGCCTTTGGCTATAGTGGGTTAGCTCATCATTATCCTCCTCACTAAGCATATCTTCCACCTTCACCTCTGCCCTTTTAACTCGACTTTCCTCTCTAATCGTCAACTTCTGAAGTTCAAACTCTTTCTGCTTTTCCTCTGCTTTTAACCATACTTCAAACCATCTCATTTCCTTTCCATGTTCAAGTTGCTTGATTTTCAATTGAATTTTAGCCATTTCCAAAGATTTGATGGCATTCCTGGCGATTGTAATTGCTGCACAATTGCCTCAAGTATCTCCCCTTTTCTCGCAGACACAGGCAACCCCAACTTCAACTTGTTTGAAAATTCTGAAAGCCTTGCTTTGCTCACTTTCTGTAAAACTCCCAAAGTGACTATTCAACCCCCAAGAAATTCTTAGGTGACTGAAACAGTCGTTACTACACAAGACACACCCTGTTTAAACCAACCAAATTCAACACCCAAAATAAAAGACACCAACACTCACCACTCGCTGCCTTTAAATCCAAAAATCCCAATCCCAACCTGGAATTAGAGATTTTGATCCCACCAAGACCCCCAACTTGAACAGAACAAACCTCCTAAAAATATTCAGAAGATGGTCTAGACCCTAACTTTTTCTGATTGTGAAGGCAAATGTAAAGTGTTGCGTTGCAGATGCAATTCGATTGGTCAAATTACTGGTTGAAGGCGAAACAAACATTATTCATCCAGTATAGTTAAAATACAACAAAAGAAAGGAGGAACTGGAAAAACAACTCTATTGGAAAACATAACAGAATAACAGATACAATAACTATTACTAATTAAGTGTTCCAACATCCCATAAACACACGCTTAGGAAAAGGCAAATTCAGAAAACAGATAGTCTCACATGCAACTGCAGCAGTCCAGGAGGAAACAAAAAAATCAAGAAAAATTCTGAGTATAGCAGCCGGGAGAGATTTAGTGCAGCTTCCATCCCTGCCAAGAGCCCAGCGACAACTGCTGAAAACTAAAAACTGAAAAAGCTGCTTCTGCGAGAGCTTGACCACTCCGAGTGAGGCTGTTTCTGCCCTTCCATCTTTTAAAAAAATCCAAGGCCTCACAAGCTGTTTACTGTAGTGGCTCTGGTAGACTGCTCGGCATCTCTGCCTTCAAAACTCTCTTCAAAAAACAAAGGACAAAATAACCCTTTAAAGCCATAGCATAGTCATATAATGTGTCTATCAACAGTTCTATGCTGGCTATCTCTAATTAATCTACACTTGTGCAAGTGGCTGTTAATTTTATCTTAGATTATTGCTTTTAAAAACTCTCACTGAGGTTAAACTGATGGACTAGTATTTTCTGGGTTTGTCCAATATAGGGGATGCCAATTAGTAGAAAGCATACATATACACTACATAATCAAGAACCCTCACTCGAGTAGAAATGCATGCTTTGACCTCAATCTTTTTCCAATGTCAGGAAAAAGTTAAATTAATTCATGTAAAAGAACAGGTCAAGGAACAAAAGTTGTAAGATTTCACTGGATCCTGAAAATCATGGTGAAATCAAACAAAGCTGAATGTGTTAGAATCAACTATGATGGTGTAAGAAATTTTTTTATTCTTTCAACAACGTGGGAATATATGATGGCAGCCGAGTAGGAGGGTGCTGAGCCCAGGGTTCATCCGGTCCCTTTGGCTTCTTTTTACTCTTGCTCTTTTTTTCCCCCTAGTTTCTTTTTGTTTTAAGCCTGGAAAGTGGCAGATGAAGCAGCAAGCCTCCAGCAGCGGTGACAGTAATGCAATGACAAGCCAGATGCAATTCCACCCTAGCCCAGGATCTCCTGGTCAGCGAGGAACAGATCCTGGACTGACTACGAGGCTAGG